CTCTCTCTCTCTCTCTCTCTCTCTCTCTCTCTCTCTCTCTCTCTCTCTCTCTCTCTCTCTCTCTCTCTCTCTCTCTCTCTCTCTCTCACCCCCGCCCACCCAACCGAACACACACACACACACACACACACACACACACACACACAGAGGGAAGCAAACAAGGCCGTGGTACACACCTGCATGAAAATAGGGCAGGAAAATGAATCCGAATAGCAAGCCGGAAAAGGGAAGAGAGGTCGACCCCTCTCCCGCCAAAGGGAAGGCGCGGGAAAGTCCCTCCTCCCGCCTTCGCATGGAGTTTACATCCGCGGTATTTGCCAAGATGGCCCCCAACGAGAAGCTGGAGCGACAGCAACGAGAGATCGGGGTCGGAGGAGAGGAGACAAGTCGGGAGCGCTACTGGTCGAACCAAGCCAGTTCGACTCCCTCCTAGACCGACAAGCTCTTCAGCCTTCGACGCCACGTGTCGTTTTCTGCTCTCTTTGGCTGACCCAGGTGCAAACTTTTGCCCCCCACCGCAATGGCATCGCGCATTACTCTCCCCAGAGTCACCACCTCCCTCCCTCCCTTCCCTCCCTCCCTCCTCTCGCCTCCTCCCTACCTCCCAACCTTCTCCTCCTACCCTTTCCACGTCCCTCTCTTTCCCAACACACGCCCTGAACCCTCTTCTCCGTGCCCCTTTTCCACAGAATGAGCATCACACCCTTCCTCTAGAACCCGGATCTCTTTCCAGGGTTGTGGAATGTCAGGGCAGCTGCATTGGCATCGCCTCACCACTCTCGAAATGTGCAAAATGAAAAATGAACTTCCTGCTAGAACATGACCAGATGGAACCGCCACAATTTTGTCTTTTTCCCATTTCGAGAGTGCTCTGGCGAGGCCCTTAGTTTCGGCTCTTTTATGCTCCTAAGCTGGACGGATCTAAACGCCTGCACCTAAGCTGGGTAATGGTCCCAGATTTGCTTTTGTCTGTCTCCGGGGGCGTGGTCCCACTAGCAAAGAGGGTCGGATCGAATTCCTGAATCTGGACGAGTTTATGGAGATGTGCAGGAAATCGAGATTGAACTGCCTTTCTGCATCTGTGCCTAAAACACATCCAAATTCAGGAGCTCGATGCTATCCGTTTTGCTAGTGGGACCTCGGCCCGGGAGGAAGATCCCACTTCCAATGTATGTGGAGAGTAGTGGAGAGGTTGTGTGACTCCGAAGCACCGTGGATCGGACTGGATATCTATAGGCGGTGTGTTTTTATTTGTATTTAGGCGCCTGGACACGAGTGTGTTTTGGCGGCCTCCCACAGGGGAACAACAAAGCTATGTTTGCAGGGGTCCCCTGTCTAAGCCTTAGGAGTAGTGGTAGGTAGGTAGCGAAGGTGAATTGAAAGAATTTGAAATGATTTTCACACACCTACTCACCTTTGGGTCATTGGCCATGCTCGGAAAACAGGCCAAAGTGATTGTGGTTTGGGAGGTGTTCTTGACGGTCCGATCCCCTCACGTATAGCAAACGCCAAACCATTAGTCATTAGAGAATACATCCCACTGACAATATTTAGTTGTGTATCTGAGACACGGTCAGGGTTTAACCAAGGGCTGGCTATTCCCAGTGATCCTCTTTCACAATGAGCTTGAATCTTCGCAGCAAGTTCTTCACTAGTAGTATCTTCAACGATGTTGAATAAACCGTGTCCGTCTCGTTGTGGACTTAATCGCACGATTAAGATCATCTCATGTCGAACTCAATGAAGTAAAGTACTATGCCGCAAAGCCAACGGGAAGTTGGCTTAACAATAACTTCGCTACAACTGACAGGATAGTCGGACTGCCTTAGTTTTGACTTTATGCCACGCTCTGTCAAAATCATACATTTCATTCCTATATTCACAAATGACAAGAGAAAGCCACACACCTTTTTCTTTCTCATTAAGGTAGGTTTGAGCATAGCCTACCCACGAGAGAGGACTAACTTCAGGATTTATTGGTCATTTTGTCCTCCTGAGCAGTAATTATTTTTCATGTCTCATGAATGATGAAGTACCTGCTTTCATCATAAGGATACTCAAAGCATTGTAATGACCGCTACCTTTCTTAAATAATATTACCACTTCATTTTACCTACTCTAAGTCTGCACTATAGCGCAAATCTCATCCTCGAAGGTGGTGCCTCCTTGCACTCTATTCAAAATAAGTAAGTATATGAACTGAGTTTCTTATGACACCAGTACCTCATCAGTAGGTAGCATACAATGTGGTCACCTGAAGGGTATGTAGAGTAGTATTTTTCCTCCTCACGAGTACGGAAGTTCACCCTTAGTCGTCGCACTTCCAACCCTCTAGGAAGTGGTTTTGGGTACCCCTCCTCCTCGCTCAAGCACAATACTTGAATCTCATAAGTTGGGATGGCTCTACCGTGATACAACAAAGTACCATACCGTGGTACGGTCTACTCTAGGTCAATAACAGGGCCGACTCCTAAAGAAACGAACCCCTACCCCAGAGGCTTCCTAGAGAGATGGAACCCTCTGACTCCGAGCGGGATCGACCACCCGTCCCCGTTTTATGAAAATGTAACTTAAACGAAAAGAAAAGTCGATGGCGAAGTGAGGAAGAGACTCATTCGAACGGGCGCAGATAAGTGAGTCATTCGGGATAGGAAATGAGATACATTAGGAGAGTGACTAAGTTCAATTGACTGCATTTTTTTTTATCAGAATCGAGTTTTTTTTTACAATGCCCGTTGAATTTTTCCACTTAAAAACACGTGTCTTTTTTACATGCAAACAGATGAAAGACGGAGAGAATACATTTTTTTTCATCGCTTCCAAATAGACGCAATCGATCTTTTTTTGCAAACATTCTTATACCTACCTGCACATCACAAAAAACAAACAAATCCAAAGGGTTTCAAAGCAACCCCATACCCAAGTCAGACCTTTCCATCCACATGCAAACACACATTTCCTTTGCCTTTTTAACGAATATTCAATGAACATGGTAAAGCAAGTGTGGGTTTACACAGGTGTGAAGGCAAATATGAGTCATTGAACTGACCTTGAGTGAAGTTTGATCTGGCTCACTCAATAAACTTTAGGTCGAATAATATTCCAATTAAAATAGAAGATAATTGTCGTTTGGAGTCAAAAAAGTGTGGTCCACAACTCCACAAGTTGTGTCATTTTCACTGAGTAACAGTCCGCGTTCTCCTTTGACCCGAACAGAGCAAGATTGAATCCACTAAAAGAACTCAATGAGATAACCCTCGAGGGGAGTGTTCTCAACAATAAGTCTTACGTGGTTTCAGTACCTCACATAGTCCCGATGTAATCCCAAATGACCACAACCTTCAAGGAATGTCCCAAATTCAATCGCAAGTTTCAAATCACCTTCAATCACTGCGTCTGCACCTGCATTTCAACCTCAAGTTGATCCCAATTGGTCAAAAAATGATCCTAGGTAGTTCAAGGTGGTCTCGCACTACCGGCCACAGCACCAGATGGTCCCAACCACCGAAGTCACTTGAGTCCCGCACACAAAATAAAATAATATTGGTCTCGTGTGCAAAACCACACGCACCATGAACCCCAACCACACCGAGCGCATCCACTTCAAGTAGTATCAAAATAACCCTGCAATGTCATGAAATGGTGTCAACGGTCCACCCGTCGATGCGCATACACATTCGCGGTAAAAATAAAATTCCCCTTAGTTTCATAAAATTCAACATTTAGAACCCAGTCCAAAATGTACATCAATGATGCTTCTATCCCTTTTAGACCTCGTCGGACTACTAAATTCTGAATCGTCGTATAAGTGTTGCTAAAAAAAAAAAAAACAGCGGGGTAATCGCTCATTGCGTCGTCAAAACTGATCGCCCAGCAACGCGACCTCTTGACTGCGCAAAAAAAAAAAATGGCAGCACCTCCCCTTAATTTAGTGTCGCTAAAGGTGTCGCGAATCCCTCATCATAGCAACAAAAAAATGAACGTCACCGGCGCCACAAAAATTCTGCAACATATCCTCACTAAATGGGGATTTGTTCATTGCACAAATAATCCACCAACACCTCAACCTGCACCACCTTAAAGAAAATTTCACCGTTGACGCAATAGCAAACCGACAACTGCTTCTCAGAAAAAAAGATGAAAGACACTGCCGCCACAACATAACCCCACGAAAATTTGTCACTCCCGTCATGCCAAAAAGATGGAAGCATAACCTCTCAAAATTGAGGGGCAGCCTGCTGCGCACGCACAGTTCACCACCCCCATCGGTCTCAATGACGCCCACAAGCACAACACTAGCCTATGTTGCAGCAAGGTGCTGCCAGCTATGGCTATAGCGCCTTGGCTCCCCCTCCTTTGCAGACCACCAGCTCCTCCAACAGACCTCTAATAATTCTCCGCCAACAACTTCAACAGGCCTCCAACACTCCAGTAGCTCTGTGAGGGTCAAACACCGCACCTTAAGGCTTATTGTATATCCATAGCCTTGCGCTATGCCAAACCACCGCTTAAGTGTACCTTTATCTGGGTCCAACCCCTCATAATATAGCCACAAAGTGAGGGCATTCATATTACTTCAGTTATGGGTTCGTATGTGTTTTTTGTCTGCCTCCACTCCAACTGTTAAACCCTAAATTCACTTTCTGATTGCCACTTGTCACATTCTTCTACTTCCTTAACTGAAAACATAGAGCTCAAGTTGTTGTGACCCCATATTGTGATCCATAACTTTTGCCTTCAGATCTAGCTTGTCTCATGTACATATATACCTACTATTTTGCAGTCTCATGCATCCTATTATGATGGCTCCAAGTTGTCCTACCGAGCTCTGTAACTAAATTTTGGAGCAGCTTCTTATTAAAAATGAGAGGCAGACTTAATCCCTATGGATCTAGGTCTTCACATAACTTTTGTTGGACCTTAATCCAAAGGAGGAATAGCCATGACCCCCATATATAGAAAAGAGCAGCCAAATGGCTGCAACTGAGTTTTTTGGCAACCATTGGTTGTATTTTCCTTGTCTAATACCCGTTCTGACAGGTGTCAACTAAGTACTGAGGCTGGAAGGGGAACAAGCAACTCGTGACAACTCATGAGTTCAAGTCCCAACAGGCTGGAAGGGGGTGCAAAAAGTACCCCGTTTTTACCGATTTTTTATTAAAAATCCATTCCACAAAAAATATTAAAAAAAAATGAAACTTGTGCACTCAGTGCTCGCTTACCCGTAGAAAAAGCTCTAGGGTGAAAAAAATTCATTTCAGTCACAAGAACATTATTAGCACGAAGTGAAAAATATGAGTTTTTTTAACTTTTGATTCGGGTCCTTTTTTTTTTTTTTTTTTTTTTTT